AGAAGTAAAAAAAAAGGAAATTGGATCCCCTCTTGAGCAAATGGTGGGGATCCTCATGACCCACTACTATTGAATTTTGATCTAACGGCTACAAATATTGGATCTATCTAAAAATTATAATAATTGTAGTCGTTAGATCAAAATTCAACGGTCCGTGTTAGTGAGTCATAAGGATCCCCATCATTTGCTTAGAAAGGGATACAATTCAAAAAATAAAGTATATGAATAGCATTACCTTTTTGTCCATCAATCTTTACCCGATTCGACCAAAATAATAATAATAATAATAATAAATCAATCTTTACCCCGAGATCCAATATCAAAAGTGTTTATTTATTTAATCACAGTTGGAATTTTATCTCCCCAATTTTTGAACAATAATCTGGAACAAATACTAATGGACAAATGATAATCATATATTTATCTTCAAAAATTAATGACAATGCTTCATGATTAATCTCACTCAATTGGAGTTCTTCAGTTTTTGGATTTTAATTTTCGTAGCTGAAAATTTCCAAAATAATGTCACATGTTCTTCAAATTCATCATTATTATCTAATATGAATCTTCAAATTCAAATTTCGTCAAGATTTGAGCCGAATTAAAATACTACAATAAAAGGATACAAACTTTCAAATTAGCATAGATTATACCCAACACACTGCTAAACTTCCAAATTTCTGAGTAAAAAATTGTACCAAGTTTGAATCCATAGGGTCAGCAAAATTATCATTCCAAAATCAAAATGGGTACAAACTTTAAACGTAAAAACAAACTTCAGAGTCTGAATAAAAATAGGAGTAGCATAAATTTATATTAGAATTGAACAAGTCATGACATACTGATGGTCTGGCTTCCTGCAATGCAGATTTGATCCTTTTTGATCATTGGTCTACCACGTTGCTTCCTTGTCTTAGGAGACTTTACTATAAATCATAGCGCTCAAATAATCCCTAGGGTAATCAAAAGAGCTTGCACCATTTTTCAAGATTGGAGCAAGTGCGTATGAGCAAGGAAAGCCTCTTATTTGCCAATGCCTACCAACCTGTACAGATGCAATCACCTCAACCTCCATCTCCAAACATAAGAAAGCGGTTCAACTTTCAAAATTCTGAATAAAAATGTACCAAATTTATGAATAAAGAATGTACCAAATTAGACTTAAAGGTACCAAAATCAGACTAGAGCAAAGTAAATGTACATTCAAACCAGACTTGATGTTTAATGTACCAAATCATCGAAATTTTGAAATCGAAGGAGCCATAAGTCAAATCACTAAACCTTGAGCAAACTTCATGATACACTTCAAAGAATGCAGTGTGGCAAAAAATTGGGAAAGATATAGTGGTACCCTGATGAGTGCATCTCTCGAATATAGCACCTTCCATATCCAAAGAATAAAGAAAAAAAAATCCAAACTAAGCTGGTTTTGCATATATGAAATGAATGCGGTATTTGTAGTTCACATAGTTTGATTGAAAAGCTGGTTTTGCAGTCGCATGGCCTTGTAAAAGGAAAAAAAACTTAATTCACGCATTTTTTACAAACACTTGTTGTGCATCGTAAGCAAAAACATACAAGCTACAACAAAGTACTCCGTTCAAGTCATCAAAATGAAGATACAAAACACCTGGTAAAAAAAGAAGAAAAAGAAAGTAAAATAATATACCTCGAACTGGTCGTAGGATCTCCAAGCTTCCTCTGCAAATGCATGCGTAATTCTTCCCCGCTTGAAATACCTCCGACTCGGTAGAACTATGGGTTCAAAGATTACCTGAGTAAAAATCTTAACAAAGTTTCCGCAATATAAGAATCCTGAGTGAAGTAGCTTGGTATCGGTTATTTCAGTTTCGAGGGCTAGAGCTAATTCTTATAAGAAAACGCAGTAATTCCACGGACGATACGCCGGCGGAGAACCGTCCGAAAACCGACGCAGTATCTTCAAAATCTTCTGCAAAATATGCGTAACGATGGTGGAGGGAAAATGGGTCCGACTCAAATTCTGGGAATTGGACGATGGATATCCACGTTGATATTTATGAATTTGAATGCAAACATAAACATAAATACCAGAAACTGAATAACTTGACAAAGTCTTTTCCCACTGGGTGGAGTCTGCCTAGAACGCTATTGCGCTCGGTTCTGTGACACGTCTTCCGTTAAATAGGGAGAGAGAAATTATAAATTAAATTTTTCAAAAAAAAAATAAATAAAGTTGCCAGGGAAGTATGTGAGAAGTGAAATGCTAATGCCTGCACAGTCAAGGGACTTTGGTAATAAATTGAAATTCAACAAGGTTAAGTAAAATGACATATGACAAAAGATTAGGTGTATGGTGAGCATACACTATAGTTATGATAGTGAGCAAAAATACTCTCTATTGAGTCATAGAGAATTGGAGACTGGGAACAAGATAAGTTAAGAATGTTGAATTTGGATTCTAAATGTCTATACAAATCCAAGTATACTCAATCAAATTTGATTATAAAAAAATCAAGATTTGATTATAATTTTAAAAAATAATTAATTTTGGTAGATTAAGAGGGATTTTAAGTGAATTCTATGCCTAAAAGCATTTACAATAGAGATATAAATTTGAGATGTGAAAGCCACATTTACATCTCACTTTATATTTTCGAAATATGTATATTTTAGTTTTACTTCAACGAGAAAGATGTAAATTAAAGATTCTATTTTAGTTCACCCTCAAAATATGTAAAAAAAAGTTGAATATATTTATTTACTTAAAATGAGTGTTAACCATTTTTGAGCCAACAAAAAAAAGAGTCCATTTTAAGGCATTTTTCATTGAAGATGCTCTTGGTAAATCTAGCATCTCCCATTCAGATTTTGAAGTAATTCACTCAGAGTTCGCATAAGTTTGTGAAGGTGCATTAAAATTTTACCCACCCTGAATTTAATAGGATTTTTATTTTTTTTAATGTCATATGAAATTATACATTTTTTAAATTTCTTTTTATCAAGGATAGTGCTATTCATATTTTTTTTTTACCCTTCACACACTATTATTAATTTTGACCATGGATCTTCTTCATTCATTTAATCCGATGACTACAACCTTTTATAAATAATTCAACTAGCGTGTGTCGCTTTATTATACACCTAGTTGAGTGATAAAGTTTAAAATTAGAATCAATTATAAGTCGTGTTAGATTAAATTAGTTCTTTATGTATGCACATTGTTTTTTTTTTTTTTGAACAAACGATATTATCTACACTAAGAGGTGAGAGAGTGAGCTAAGCCTCACAATGAGCCAGAAATAATGTGCTTCAAATTCGCATTTGGTGAGAATCGAACCTAAGACATATCACTTACAAGAGAAGAAGAATACCACTAAACCGTAACACTAAGTAACTTTTATGTTTACACATTTAGAATCATAACATAAAGTCTTATGAGATAAATGAATTACTTGATAATTTTCTTGAGAAAAATTATTTCAATTCCATTTAGGGTGATGCTATCACACTATTTTTACTTTTCACATATCATTTGTTTCTTTTATCTCTTAATATTTTTCAATTCACGCAAATTAAAATAAGTATGCAGTGATAAAAAAAAAAGTGTGTATACTGTATAGTACAGCTCTTCCAATGACTCTCCCAAAGCATGAACCCTATCATTGGAAAGACGCAGCGGATTAGACTCTACCTGCAGTGGCTTTAACCATCTATTTGACCAGTTGACCTCACCCAAAAAAGAAAAGAAAAACCTCATTTTTGTTTTACGTGAGGACATGGGGATTGCATCGTAATTTAACACCATATTTCCCCCAAAAATCATCTTAAGAGTGGTATTACGCCCACCTTACTGTCTTATTTTCTCATCTTATTTTATTTTTTCAATTTCAAAAGTGTTAAAAGAAGAAAACACTTTTTTCTCACCTGCCATTTCCTAAAATACCCTAATGTGATTTCAGCCCTTGACACCCTTACTCCGCTGGAGTGCCGCACCAACTCCCAACATCCAACCCAGGTCCCCCAACCATCGGAACACCACCATGGTAGCAAAACTGCCTCACCAACCATCTTCTTGTTCCCTTGCATAGTCTAGATATTTTATTTTTCGTATGAATTTCAAGTATTGCATATTGCAATGGAATTCAACGTGGGGGGGGGGGGGGGGGTTGGGGGGTTTATGTATTTAAAGTTTTAGAAAGAAGGGAAATGAGAGAGAAGGGAGGTGAGGTTTGGGTTGGGATTAGAACCAAAGAAGGGGCTGGGAGGACAGAGAGTTTAAAGCCATGTATGTTATGAAGTAATGATGAGTGATATATAATCGGTTGTTTCGTATTTGATTAAATCCCTAGAATTAAGGTCTTGGAAAAAGAAAAAATGAAAGTAGAAATACTTGTTTACAAGAGATGAGATTTTGTCCAAGAAGTGCACAATAATTAAATTGAAAGAAAGAAATTTTTTTTCTTTTACAAAGATGGTGCACGGGCATAAGGAAATGGGCAATCCAGCAATGTGCAGTGAGCATAAGGAAATTGGCAATCTATAGTACATGTTTGTTTTGGTCCTTACATGTCATTTTACAAGAGGGTAAAAGTGACATTAAATTTATACTAGAATATGGGTGGAAAAAAAAGACAATAGGATGAGTTTATCAACACTCTTACCTTAATTAAACATTTTTTTATTGAAACCAAGCACCACAATGTTCCAGATTCCCGAAACTGCCCCTCCACCTTGGGTTAAAATGGTAAATAACAAGAAGTACATGGAGGAAAGAAGAGGAAGATATTTTGGGTGGGAATGAAAAGACGAAAAAGCCACTGGAAATGGACTATTCGAATTCCATCGTGCCATCCCAATGCCGAATCCAGCGGCCCATATAAATCTGTGTAAATAAAAAATATCCCAGCCGTCGGATGGATCGTGGGCAAAAGGGAGCCGTGGGTTGGGTTCTCTAGAGTGCCACGTGGCAGTGGGACTTTTTCGTTCAAGTTGGATGTATAAGTAGCTGTCAAACCCTGAGGCCGAAAGACCCACAGTGGTAGAGAGAGAGGGGAATTTCTAGGGTTAGGGTTCTGAGATTTGCGAGAAAGATGAGTGAGAGGCTGAGCGGCACCGTCAAGTGGTTCAATGACCAGAAGGGGTTCGGCTTCATAACCCCCAACGACGGCGGTGAGGATCTGTTCGTTCACCAGTCCTCGATCCGATCCGAAGGTTTCCGCACTCTTGGAGACGGCGAGACGGTCGAGTACACCGTCGAGGAGGATGCCGGTGGCCGAACCAAGGCTGTTGACGTGACCGGCCCAGAGGAGGGTCCCGTTCAGGGCAGCCGAGGCGGTGGGGGTGGTGGACGAGGCCGTGGAGGCGGCGGTGGTGGAGGCTACGGTTTTAACGGTGGCTCTGGAGGGCGAAGCGGTGGCGGTAGAGGTGGCCGAGGAGGTGGTGGGTATGGCGGAGGAGGCTACGGCTCGGGTGGTGGTGGGTACAGCTCAGGCGGTGGATACAGCTCAGGCGGTGGATACGGAGGTGGAGGCGGTGGCGGTGGCGCTTGCTTCAAGTGTGGCGAGTCTGGACACATGGCGAGGGACTGCTCTCAGGGAGGTGGAGGCTACGGAGGCGGTGGAGGCGGCTATGGAGGAGGCGGCCGTAGCGGTGGTGGAGGCGGAGGTGCTTCTGGAGGGTGCTACCAGTGCGGTGAGTCGGGCCATTTCGCTCGGGAGTGCCCGAACAGGGGTTAAAGCAGTCGTTTCCAGTTCAGCGTCTGTCTGCCTGTGTTGGTGGTGCTGGTGTGTTTGGTTTTTGCTTAATTAAGTGTTGGTTTCTATGAATCAAAAACTCGTTTCGAGTAGTCGTGGTTTGCGGTTTTATGGGTCATCTCTTTTGATTTCAATCTATGGAAACATGAAGTAAATGATGATTCCTTTTGATGTAGTAATTTTTCTTTCTTTCTTTTTGGTTAAGGTTTTTTTAGTGAGGATTTGGTGTTAATCTGGCAGAAAATGTGGATCTGTGGTTAGTGGTTGGATGTTGATTCATACACATTAATATACTCTGCTCCTCCTTATTTTGATTTGTTTATCGCTGCGCAACAACTGGATCCTTGTGGTTTTAGGGTTTATCTGATTTGGGAAATTTCAATTGACCTAAATCGGATGTAAAAGGACAATAATGCACCTGTCATTGTTAACCATTTACAGAAACGTACTATTATGGGACTGTTTGTGGCCACGCTTATGTTGTGGTTGGGTCAATTGGCTTTAGGTAGGTGAGTGGAAGGCGTCTACTCAATATGTTACACATTTAATTGCGTATTTACTTTAATTGGGTCAGATTCTTTCTCTCTGAACCAACTTGAGCCAAGGAGGAGATTATTTGTTGATGTCGACCAACCCTAATTAAAATTTAGCGTACATTAAGCAAGGCACAAAATCCTTGATTGGCGTCTAGGACTGGATTAGGTGTTCGATTGACGTCAAGGATCGGATCGGATAATATACTAGATTCAATCTGTGATCAAGGATTGGATTGGATAATATAATTATTCATCAACATTGATGAGTACATGGAGGGATATGTTTTCTTCCAATCTCTCCGATCTTACCAAAATGTTTTAGATGTAATTCAATTCAATCCAATTAAGGAGTAATTCAATTCAATCCAATCATGAACGTCAAAGGAGTCCAAAAAATTGTTCATGTGTGCAAACAAACCTTTTAGCGTGTGACAATTGAAGTAAATGAAATGAGAGTCAATCGTAAAGGGTAAAATTTATGTCTGGCAAAGTTTTAAAAAACGTTAGGCGTTAGTCGGGCGGCTGATTGGGACTCAGAGCTTAGGCGGACTAAGTAGATTTAAGTAAATCTATTATATTTTGTATAAATAAGTGTCTGCTTATACTTGAATATATATAACTTCATCATAAATTATAAAATAGAATGACATATTTATTATGAAGTATTGAAGCTGTTGATCGTAAAAACTACTAAGCCTACGTGGCGTGCAGGCCGAGTAACTAATAAGCTAACTACATCATTCGGTTATGTGCGGGGCATGCCAACTCGACGGTTGAGCTCGACGGGGGAGTAAAATGTGTTTATGTTGCGTTAAGCGCGCTGCTGACTTCTTGATCTTGCTACAGCGGTCGAGGAAGGAACACGTCTCGACTTTCAGGTTCTAGAGCCTGAAGACAAGACTGCTAGTTTTGCAAGTTCAATATCAGATTTGGCTTTTAATGTGCCGAATGTAGTAATTTGGTAACACCTCACTTCACCGAGAAGGTTGATGATATGACCTCTACCAACAAGGACTCGAAAATCCTTATCCACCGAGACTTGGATAGGTAATCAGTCAACTTCGAAACAGTGTTGTTTATCCAAACTGAAGGTGCTTCACGATCGGCTGACTCTATGGCAACAGTTCTGTTTATCCCAACTGAAGATGTCACCGGTTGTCTTCACAGTGCTGTTTATCTAAACTGAAGATGTGTAGGCGAAAAAAAGAAAATAAAAATCTCAAGGTTGTTGAGAGGTTTCACGTAGAGCGAAGGTTTACGCAGGGCAATTTGTGTGTTGAATTGGAGAGACTTGAATGATGCACTCCCTTCTCTATTTATAGTATCAAACCCCCTTATGGCCGAGCTAGAACCGTATTCGGATTAGAACTCCTCAACCTAATCTTATTAGGTCTCGGCCAATCCTAACTCTAATGGAACTTTGAACCAACCTCTTTTAACGAACCAGATTCATCCATTAAATCTCAGCATCCTTAGCCTTAGCCGTAAGACTCCTTGTTGCACTAGGTCTCGACTACCTTACCTTTATCTAAACCAATCCTCCTAATAGTAGGACTCGGCTGACCTTGACTAAACAGCCCATGACAAAACTCTCAGTAGTCACTGGGCCGATAGTTACTAAACTCGGCCCAAACTATCATTTTGGGCCCAAACAGAAACATAATGAAAACATGGGAAACAAGCATATAATGTGTTCATTTAAGTATTCAACAAGTCTCTTACAATTTATTGAAAAAAATAAAATGCAAAATCAAAGTTATTTATTTTCCATCAAAGTGAGTCGCGACCTAGGCGAGTATGGGTGGGCTAGACGGTTTGGGCGGGTGCCAACAGGTCTGGGCGCCCTGTCTTAATTTTTAAACTCCTAGGCATTAATTGGGGCAATAGCTAGCCGGCTAGCGCCTAGGCTAGGTGGTGTTAAGCGGTGATTTTTAGAACAGTGATGTCTGGTGATTGGGTAAATCAAAAGAGAATCTAGACTTTAAACAAGTTGAGAAGTAGTAACGAACAAAATTTGGGTGAATTTTTACCTTGAAGAAAACAGCAAAGTTTCAGTTTTTTTTATTTGCATGCATATATGCAAGTGAACTCGGAAATTTGTGGGGTTAGTGATGGAGTTTGTGGGGTTAGTGGGGTTTAATTTAGAGTTAAGAAATTTGGGAGTGTGTGGAGGACAATTAAATAAGAAGTGGACAGCAAATAAGATGGATTAGTCGTGATTTTTGCCTGGTTTAAGGTTTACATGTGCTTCACAGTCAACGTGATTTTTGCCTGGTTTAAGGTTTACATGTGCTTCACAGTCGACATGAACCCAAAAGTTCAAACTTATTTTATACACAATGTGGACCTACTTTACTAGACCAGTTTATGGGCTTTGATAGTGAGGCCGAAATATGAATGGATGGGCTTTCATATGTTTTCTACGGACCCATTAGGGAATCTGATGGCCTAACATTTTACCTCCAATGGGTTCCCACGTATGTTAGTTGGGTATATAGTAGGATCTTCTTCAAACACCACTTCGCTGGCCTATGTGGCACTTTTTCTTCGAGCAACAAGAGTGAAGTAAGTCTCACAATGAGTTAGTCATAGTAATTCGGTTTAAATTCGTCTTTAGCGAAAATCGAACACAATATCTCTACTTACAAGTGAAGAACAATACTTATAAACAAAATAGTATGCAACACTTTAAAAATTCAAAGTTTATGCCTTCTCAATTTTTCGCTCTATCAGGCTTTACAAATTTGGTTATTTGAATGTAGAAACTTTAAAGTTTGATGAGTTCATGTATAATTGTTGGAGAACAAGAAGAAGGTGATACGGGTGAACCAATTAAGCATATTGTAGACGCTTTAAGGCCACGATCTAGGGTAAAACCAAAATCCGATCAAATATAGGTCACCTACTCTAAGACATAACTAACGAGCAACAACGCAGATTTAGGATCACATCAGACATGTAAATAGGAGACAAAAAAGACCTAAAATTTCAGTTAACTGCAGAAGAACTGAAGAAGACATGCATGGCTTCCAAGGATCACAAGGCAGCAGTCGTCTACTCTCAGCAATCAAGATATACTAGCTATTTAGAACGTATATTGTGAGAGCAGGGACGCTATATATAGTGATTAAGGTTTTAAATTAGTCAAGAGGATTCACCAAATCACCATCATATCAATTAGTGTTGACATCAGGGCATGTATTTTTGTAATTAAAAGGTTTTATTTATTTATTTTTATTTTTCAAATTTTCAGTTTTGATTTGTTTAAATTTTACTTTTGACTTTTAAAATTGCAGCTCATTGATTTAGTGTCGACATCTCATGGAATTAGTGTCGACACCATGGTGGCATGTATATTTTGTAATTTATTCATATCATTTATTTTGGAGGTTATGGGTGCTTCCATTTTCAGATTCAATAATCATTCCCAGGTTGCTCTGGTTATAAAGGAAATAATTGTTGTAATTAGTGTATAATATTTGTTTACTTGAGAATTGCTAAGAATACTCTATTTCAAAAATGAAACTCTTCATGCACTCTCTGCCACCTCGTATGTTTTGGAACATTATTTTTTAAAATTTTGGTGCGAGAATTAACGTTAAATTGTGAAGTGACAAAGAATCTATGAAAAATCACACTTCAAAAGAATCTCTTTAGCATTTCTCACCTTATTCTAGTCTAGGTCAATCCCTCGTATTGAGAAGACTGTCTAACTTCCCACAATCTCTTTGTTATCTTATAGGTTAGGTTCATTGTATGAAAGATGTATTGGTGTGCCTACTTGGATATAATCCTTGTACGGGTGAAAAACATATACCCTCAAGATTGGCGGCAAATCTAACCGCCTTTTTTACTCACTTTGCACGACAACTAGTTTGTTGCGCAATAGCACTTCATGGGGCGAAATTAATTTCGTCGCGTAGACTTTATGCGACAACAAATTCGTCACATAAACATTGAAGCGACAAAGGACATTGATTTTAAGTATTTATTTTTAATTATGAAATTTACATAAACAAAGTATATTGTCCATGTTTAAATAAACTTCATAATTACAAACAAATACTTAAATTCAATATTTAATCTTAGAATTAAAAACTTAATTCGATTAAATTAACCAAATTAATCAACTAACCAATTAAACTAAAAATTTAATCCAAATACATAACAAAGAGATAATTACAAACATCATCCTCAAATACATAAATTTAAAATATAAAAATATGTTATTTGTCCATAACGCTTAATTAACACTTCTACTCCACTGATCCGTGAGGACTGCCACTGCCGGTAACACTTCTTGAACATCTCATCGATAAACTTCATCAAGTCTTGGTTCGTAACTTCAATAATATAGTTATATTGTTACAAAAAAAAAAAAATTACAAATTATTCATTATAATATTCTATTTAACAAAAATAACTCTTATTTTACTAATCCACACTTACTGATAATTCATCTAGCCTAGACTTCTTCAGTCCTTCGGCACATCACCCACTTCGTAGAACAGTTGATCCGCACATCATGCATAAACTCCACACATCTCGGCATACTCATTCCTCTCATATCATAGTAAAAGATTCACTTATGTTGTGCACTCCATTCGAGTCCGTACCGACGCTCTCCTAGTTTTTATTTTTTATTTTTTTAATCTCCAGAAACAAACGTAAATTTTAAAATTAAAGTAAGTAATACATATCTAAAATTGTTTTTTTTTATTCCAAAAATATAAATATTAGATTCATGTAAATTGAATTTTTACCTTTCCCAG